TAGTACCACTATCTAGAAGAAGAAGGAATATATTTATATGTTCGGTTCCTTATGTTGTACAATACAATACAGAATGCAGGACTACCTTATACGAATACGACATCCGGTACGATATGAACAATATTTTTGCATGTGGTTAAAAATAAATAACGATAGAACGAATAATAACTTATTTATAGTACAGTTTCAACATTCATAAGGATAAATATGAAATTCACACATCAGTCATATATAAACGTATGAATTTCAGTTATTTTTTGTTATGAAAGATGAAACTGTATTATATACATTATAAACAAATATGCTTGTTTGTGCTACGCGAATGGATATGTAAATAGTACAACGTATCTGGATGCATTGTTTTGTTTCACACTGCTCTGATACTGTCAATGATGACACACGTTGTTTTCGTGCTATCAGTATCGCTGTGCAGGTGCTTGGCGAAGGTGCTACGAGTACAGGAAGTGACGTCGAAGTGGTGTATGTGGTTATGGCCTCATCACGGACTGCATGGTGGATGACCCAGCTGTCAGTTTGGAGCCACACAATTGGAAACGCGTGGAATGATATTTCCAGAATCACATTAGCCCGCAGCTACTGAGCAATAACATGAACACTCCCTTTAATCATTTATGTTATCGCATATATTTCAAATTACAACACGTAAACATCATAAGTGGAATATAATATACTTTTGCGAAAATATTTAAATAACTTAAAATAATTACATTGCATTTACAACATTAATAAAATGGAAATATCAAAGTTTCTTAGAAAAAGAAATGCAATCTTTGTCCATTTTAAGGCTAAAATTGGAAAATGGTTCTTGGGCATCGGAATGTCACCTTTAAAGGGAAACAAACCTCCAACTTTCAGACGTCCTGCGTAGCGTCTGTCAATTTCCCCATTGCCAAAAAAAATCTTCTTTTTTTCAAGAAACAAAGATAGATTCCTGCCGCTCTGGTCACGTTTGGGGCATTTGAAGCAGCTTAATAGAGTGAGAACAAATAATTGTTTTAGGGTGTATACATTACTAGTCATATGATATTCTACACAACAGCATCTCCATGGAAAACTAGGAGTGTTCCAACAAGCGATTTCCTCAGGTGCATAAGAGTTACATATGTATCAATAGAGAGAAGATATTGGAGATGGTCAAAACTCCTTACATATATTAACTAGGATATTATTGACATATTATATATATTGAATGGGTTAACTTACCAGTATCCCAGTCTATACAAGGAATGAACACAATATGGTATTTTTGTTGTTATTCGTCGTGATAAATGTGTGTGTACTTCTACGATGGAGAGATACATGGCTGTTTACACAGACAAGTTTTAATCATTTACGGCTTGAGGGAACCTACTTGCAGTATCCTGAATCTGTAAATTATTCAACTCACCGCCACTAAGAGAGTAGGAATCTACACCGAAAATATGCTTATCCATATCCATTGTTATCCATAACGTGTTATTTCCTAGTCTCAATAAAGATTTAACAATGAGATAAAATGCCATTATTTATTTTAAGGTAGTACATTACAAAAAGAGGAATATTACTGTTAGGTGTCTATTGTCATATACATCCCACTTTATTGCCTATTTCGATCGTGTAAACCATGATGTCGTATGTAATTGTGAAATTTGAGGTCAGTACATACATCATACATTCTCGTCGTAAACCCCAGCTGATACATGTATTTCTCAGCACCAACTTTCCCTGTACATGCAGATCTCTGAGTGATCTTGTACAACAAACCGACTGATTGTGAAGAAGGCACACCATACGTGTGCAAGACTAAGATCAGGTAAGCTATAAGGCGTGTCGAGAACGCCCATGACGAACTCGATCACTGACAAGCATTATCCGCTTTGTCACTCACCTGATCCTGAGTTTAATCCAAGCTTGTATTGAGATAAATTAATGCTATTGGGATAAACTAATGCATACTCTCCGTCGTGACGGCAAAAAGTGACACTGATTTGTCATGGCGGTAGACAGCATGTCAGTAAATAACAGACACCACCACCCTGATGACGGATTAACCAGATGTACTAAGGATTAACGAATAGGGTTAATTAGGAACAAGAAGGTAAATTACCTGGACTAAAAACTCCACCTGCACATGTCATGTTAACGAAATATTTATTGAACCATTTAAACTGAATCCTATCATCTAATTAAACCCATTGTCAAACAGTGTTGTCGTTAGTAAAGTCCTAACAACTCGGATCCACTGCATATTGTTTAAAAAACAGATCTGTCAATCGTCCCACGGATGACAGACATATGTTATGTGATGGAAATTTTATGTGCATGTTTATTATTGAATTATGCGACACACGTGTTTAGCTTAGTCATAAACAATGACAAAGAAGCCCACATTCATGTTATTCAGCAGGATTCAGAACAACCTGGTGTTTCTCGACGTGTGAAGCTGTGATATGCAAAATATCAGCTTTCATAATTATAAACGCGTTAGGCTTTATAATAAGACCAAGAGAGTATAGTAGTAGTGTCTATGTCACGTATACGTACATACATACATACACACACACACACACACACACACACACACACACACACACACACACACACACACACACACACACACACACACACACACATACATACATACATACTGACTGACTGACTGAGTTTGGTTTTACGCCGCTTTTAGCAATATTCCAGCACATCACGGCGGGGGACACCAGAAATGGGCTTCACACATTGTACCCATGTGGGGATTCGAACCCGGGTCTTCGGCGTGACGAGCCAATGCTTTAACCACTAGGCTACCCCACCGCCCCCACATACATACATACATACATACATACATACATACATACATACATACATACATACATACATACATACATACATACATACATACATACATACATACACATACATACATACATACATACATACATACATACATACATACATACATACATACATACATACATACATACATACATACATACATACATACATACATACATACATACATACATACATACATACATAAGCCCGCAAAACCCGGTATGCACCTACATCTGTCATGTTTTGTGTCCATGTACACAATTTGAAGTTTTGTGTCCATGTACACAATTTGGAATGATGTACGACCGGAACATCAGTGATGGTGACACACGTTTCCTACACACGCAGTCATATCAGTGACAGATAACGTAAGACGGATTCCCCGAGAAAAGGATATCTTTACGATGTCAATAATGACACAAAACATCCTGGTATCCCAGATTTAAATCAAATTCAAACTTGACTGGTTTCCTTGTCAGTTTTTAACAACATATAACCCCTGGCCTAGATTATACGGCCGTGAAGTCAGCAAAATATACGTCGACTGACGCAACGTTGTGATATAGTGAGGCGTTTGTATCGCCTGAGGCGAGCGTGGGTGTACACTTGACTGTTTATTGAATGTCTGTATGTACAGTTTGAATCTGTACAGCTACAGCTGTGGTATGTAAAGTTGTGGGGTTGTGTTTGGAATAAATCAATGCACATCATTCCCCACGAGATAGGTATCGTACGATCTTTCAATCTGTATTCATGATAATGCAACGCCTGGATTCGTTCATATTATACCGTGGCAATGGAATCTTGGATGTATATTTGTGGTGGAGTCTACAATTGCCTACAGTAATATAAAAACAGTTTTACGCACTGGTTTTATGTGTAGCTACCCTCTCCCTGAGAAATTAATGGGCACAGCCCACTGAGATTTTGGACTTTCGCTTATAGTGTTCAGAAACTGTATAATTAAGAAAGAAGAAACACATATTTGTATGTGGCGTAACGTCATATATGTTTTTTTACTAACCATATGTAACGGTTGTGTAGGTCTAAGGAATTGTACATATTGAAATAGTAAACTTCGCCATTGAGACATCGGTGGTAGACTAAGGCTACATCGGTGGTTGTGTATGTGTTTATGTCTCATTTGAACAGCTGTGGGCATTGCGGGGGCGACGGTTGTATAACAACATCCAAAACTGACATCATCTATTGCACCCTCACCCTGAATTTAATCATAGTGTTAACGATTATAGAACAAAAACAACAATAACAATATTCAATCAATCATATTGAAATCGAACTCTTTCTTAACATTATTTAACAACGAAACATCATTTTTATTGGTTGGGATAAAACTATTGCGTAGCGCGGTATCGTCGTATAAAAAGGAAATTTACAGAATGAAATTTCATACCAACAATCATATTGCACACGAATGAAGACATGGGTACTTCCGAGGAAAAGGTGATGTAACAATTTGGTGACGTGTACCGATGTAAGATTTCACCCCTATATTTATATAATATCCCATGTAAAATAACCAAAAGTACCTCATGTTGTAGAGGCGATGTTTATATAAATATATGTCACACATGACTGTTTAGTTGTTTTGTTTACAGGAATGTTCTAGACTCTTATTTGTTTATGTGAGCAGAATCAAAACTAGAACGACGTTATTTTCATTTTCGCTTTGTTGATATATCAACAGCCGGGCCTTGCATACCGAAACACGTTGCGTCAGCAGAGGGAATCTCCCCGAACAAAGAATATGATTTGTCTGCACTATAGCAACGTCTGCTACGTCACACGGGCATGAGTATATGGGTTATTGAATTTCCTTATATAGACCAATGAATAACCAGAGAGGGTTTCCCGGAGCCTTGTCATTGACCACGTGACTGCACGGTGCGCTCACATCACCCCACATTGCCTTTCATTCAGGAAACTCATAGAAAGAAAATAGTTCCTAATGCACACTGCTCCAGAACTTTTACTGCATGTTGTATTTTGAATTTTATGGTCTACGTTGTCTTTGGAATACAGTTTTACATTTGTTGGTTTTCTTGAGTGAGCATTTATTGCGTACAGGAAAATCGAATAAACATTCGCAATAGCCGGTAACATTTGGCGGAGGGATCAACCATAGTTGGTGTGTGACGCGTCGTGGTTTCCTCACGTCGTAATTACACGTAGCTTCACAATGGCGTCTCAGGCAGATTCAGTCGGTTGTCGGTGCGAACTCTAATAAGGGGAAGGGGAAAGAGGTCCCTTCCCAGGTTAAGTAACATAGACGACCAGCTGCCGGAATCATTCAAGAGTTACGAGACGCAAGACAAAACGGAATAACATTCAGCAAGAAGTGATCATCGTGATATTCGGACGCCGGCCACACGAAAATTTGTGACGATCAAGGGCATCATCTGGTATAGGGAGAAATCATTTCGTCATCTGTTGAAACATATTTCGACGTGACGGAATATTTCACATACGCAGCAGAAGTTACAGGACCTGGGAAGAGGGAGTACCTTTACAAATTTATGGAATACAGACCACGTTTATCCCACGGACTTCGAATTACGTCTTACGGACTAAAGAAAACAAACACGAGCACCCTCGAACTCATTGTCAGTTTCAGTTGAAATTGACAACGGTGTGTATTTCACAACTTGCTTGCCATTTCCCAGAGAATAATTTCATTATTTCATCGGTATGAAAGTGTGCCTTAAGTAACTTTTCTACACCAAGAAAGGATTAACTAACGGTGTTGTTCCTTTTTTCTCATCAAAGAACATTCCGATTTCCGGGAAGACATTTTGTTTGAAGAAGCCGCCTCACGTGTTGCTACACAAAGGCAACCCCCCAACAAAGGCACAGCTACGGATACCTTAGTGCAGATTCCAGGTTCCTACCATCAGTTGAGAATTGGTGCTCTCAACAGATAACTTAATTTTATAGTATTCATATGAGCTTTTCACGCCAAAGGCCCCGGCCCTTAATTGTGAGTCATGGGCCACGTAAAAAGTTTAATAATTTTGAATCGCAACCAAACGTAGGCAACCTCAGTCCAGATTTACAACCCAACACACCACCGGTCTTTCAGAAACCAAGTTCACAGAATGTTTTTAAGATTGGAAAATATCTCTTGGTTGAACAAAGTGATGGGAACGAAATCTACAAGGCTGTTAACCTGACAACTGGAGACGAGAGTGTTTGCAAGGTGTGGTGTGTATTTTCTTGTGACATATTTTCGTGTTATTTTCCTATGTATCCATATTGTTGAATCATTTAGTTAAAACTGCTCAATCTTATGTTTATAGTTCATCATACTATAGAAACCGGCCATGTGATAAAATATGTGATTACCTTTGTACTAGTTAATTAGACCCGGTACATTGTTTGTATAATGTCTGATTGGCTCAGAAGCTGATTATCCCATGTTTTCTTTACACATTATTTTATTCTTAATTGACAATACTTTAATTTGGAAAAAACAACAGGCTTTTATTCTTATGTCTGTCTCAAGTAGTTCTTTGTTCCTATGAAACAATGCTTCATAAATAGAATCTAATGTCTGCCTTTAGACGTCAACATAGGCACCAGTTTTGGAACCTACGTACGTTTAGACGCCGTTTAATACCCAGCTGGGTTTTTTTTTTATAGTTTAATACTTTTACTCAACTATATGAACACAACGACTCTGCAGTTATTGTTGTTTCTACATCGTTTAAAAATTAATAATGCATGAACATGTCAAATTTCTACATTGGAATTTTTGGTTTAAACCCTTGCACTCTGTTGTGAAAGTGTTTGTCCCATTGAGTGACCCCCAGTATTGCGAGTCACCTGTAACATTGAATCGTGTGAGTCATGCTGACTGTGTCCTCCATACCTGCCCCAGCACAAAGTTACACAGCATAGTGCAAGATGTAACAGATTCAAGCTTAGTCATGGGCTCTGGGACTAAACTTAAATATTAATCAAACAAAATGCCAGGTGTGAAATATTAAGTCTCATGTTTAGCCTGAAATAGGGAATATACTTGTTGAATTCTTGTTTGGCTTGACATTTATCACATATCAGTTATGGCTCTAATTATGATATGCGATGTTAGGTTTGTTTGATCCTTATCTCATTGTTGGCAGCGTAATATGATATTGCAGATCAATGTAAAGTATGTTATCATTCACTCATGGGAATTGTTAAAATATCAGGGATTATTGATTTTTTTAAAATATGTTTTCATCCTGTGTTACAAAAGCCACTTGGCAATGAAGCATTCAGTACACTTTCCGTATCAGTCCGATGCATTGTACAGTGCTTGGCTAATGTTTGTCCATATGTTACAACTATCGACTGATGAATGATATTGTTGGCTAAGTAGGCTTCAGAGATTTAGACACTAGGGACTTATGTGATCAACGTTCCAATTTGGTTATATTTTGCTTTTTTGTTTTCTATTTAATTTTCTATATTTTTGTGATCTCTTTTCCAGGCCTTTCCAATAAACAAATACCAGGAGATTTTGTCAGCCTACTGGCAGGTCGACTGTCATGAACACGTCACAGAGGTTGCAGAGATCATCCTTGGGGAATCCAAAGCATACATCTTCTTTGAGAAAAACTTTGGTGATCTACACTCCTACGTCAGATCTAAGAAGAGATTGAAGGAAGAAGAAGCTTGTCGACTCTTTAAGCAAATAATTCAGGCTGTACAGCACTGTCATGAGAATGGAATTGTGCTTCGAGACCTTAAGCTACGGAAGTTTGTCTTCAAAGATGAAGCAAGGTGAGATGTCATTGCATCATAGTAACATTTTATTCTGTCTGTGTAGGGATGGCAGATTTAAGGATCAATTTGGTGATTGTGGGCTGCGAAGTAGATGTCCTTTTTAAGGACAATTGTCAGAAGATGATGAGGATTGGAGGTGAAAGCGACATGATTTATCCCTTTTGGTTCTTGTAAAAAATGAAACTGAAAGTGTGTGTCATCAAAATCGCAGGGTGTCACATGATTTCTATATATAGACTGCCCTGTCACGTCTGTGGGAAATAGACATGAAGCATTGTGTGACAGTTAGCGTTTCCTGCTTGATAGTGTGATTGACAGGGCAGATGGCTGCAATACATGGCTGCTCGTTTCAAATGCCGAACATAATGTATAGTAATAACGATTGATGTTACGTAGTACTAAAACAAGGCAGAAGCTGTGAATGTTATTTAGAAGTGGTACCCATGTTTGGGATATATATGGAGGTGAATGATAGCTTGGATTCAGAGAGCAAAATATAAGCAAAAGTGTGAAGGTAAAACTTACTACTTTTGTTTTCACATCCATCTATGTGGCTATCTGCTCCTTGCTTTCATTCATCTGGTGGAGTGATACTGTACTTGTGTTCCTCATATCACTGAAGTTGACCTCCATAACTTATCCTTAACATCAAGGTGTTCTTAATCAGGTATCAGATTTTGTAAAACACATCATAATTATTTTCAATATGCTGATTTGATATTTGTCTTGTTTCAGAACTCAGTTACGTCTTGATGGGTTGGAGGATGCTGTTGTTCTTGATGAAGAAAGCAATGACATGATGACAGATAAGCATGGTTGTCCGGCGTACGTGTCTCCAGAGATCCTTAGTGCTGCTGGAAGTTATTCCGGAAAAGCTGCAGACATATGGAGTTTAGGAGTAATGTTGTACACCATGTTGGTTGGACGGTATCCATTTCACGACTCAGTGCCTGTTGCACTGTTTGGCAAAATACGCAGAGGACAGTACACGATTCCTGACAGTGTGTCATCTAGGGCAAAATGTTTACTGAAAAGTCTCTTGAGGAAGGAGCCAAATGAACGACTTGCAGTGGAACACGTCTCACAACATCCATGGTTGAAACTGACATCCTTTTCCAGTTATGCACGTTCAAATAGACAAAGTCAGGATCAGACTGTTCCAGAAATGTCCGTCGTGGATAATACAGACTCGTTCTATGTGTGACACTGACGCTGTGATCTTGGTACTCAACAAGTGTTTTTGGACATGCTTCTCAATAGTCATTTGCTGAAATGAACACAATCAAATGATGTGGAAATGACGTAGGTCGCTCAGGTCCTGATCTCAAACAGTATTTTCTGAATAACTGAAAGGTATGACCGACTTTGAAACAGATGTGATATTTACTGCGTACGCCAGTGCTGATTTCAGTCGTCCATCTTTAAATACTGAAGCAATTTCGGGTAATGGTTCATATGTAATGGTGCAATCTTATTGGCTGATGAATGGGTCTAAGCGTCCGAAGTGGACAGTTATTATTCAGATTACATCTAAATAGCCAATCAGAATTCATCTCAGAGGCAGCGTTGCTATGGAGATATATTGATCAGCATCTCATTTTCCAGCATACATTTAAGTGTACGGACGATGTGTGTACTTTGATTGCCTGTGGTTTGCCCTCTCCTTCGTGCCAAATGTCCTCATGATCACACGTGTGACTGTATGCTTGTGGTGTGAAAGTGATGTCAATGAGATTAAGCTTACAGTGAGTGAAAGATTGCAATGCCTGTGTGCATGTATCATTTTCTTCGTTCATGTACAATTAAAGCACGAACTCAGTGAGCCAGAAATTCATTTTCTAGGCACCTGTATATCTCCATAGCAACTTCATGTAACATAGTGTCCATGTATCTATGCTTACAAGCAATCCTTGAAAAATGGCATCCATCTAATAACTGTATAGAGATGTTATTGTATAGAGATGTATATTAGACATAAAGGGCTGCTTTGTACATTCGCTTTGAAAGGTCAAGCTTCAAGATTAACTCTTACCCACCAAAGACTATGGGAGTGGCAATGAGGTTGTGAAATACATCTAAGTTTGTGTCAATCTTTTTCCACATCTTTCACTAATCTGATACAACAGAACAACATTGAAAGAGACTCACATTTTTCCAGAACCCAGGGATTTCACTTTTAACTAAACAGAGGACATGGTCAAGGAAGAGTTACTTCCCTTGCATTGACTTGTCTGAATGTATTGGGTGGGCCGCTCACTGTCAGAATGGACAGTGTATATCTAGTACTGGCTAGTGGGCAGTTGATAGGGTGTTGTCAATGTTTAGATGGAGGTCCCCATCGAAATGAATGTTTAGGTATGATAGGACCAACTCTTGTTGGGGAACATGTCCTCTTGTTTGTGGTGTCCTGTTTGTCAATTTGACTCAATATTATTGTTATGAAACCTAATTTAATTCTTTGAAGTAAAATCTTCATTTCTGTTGTATAAATATTAATTAATTATTAATTTATCCCCTTCTTGTTGCAAGTGAAAGAATTGCTTTCATTGTTCAAAATGAGTTATTATACATGGCTGTTTGGACAGGAAGCATGGCTGTTGTATGCTCGCTGAATAAACAATAATGAATGGAACATGCACTCTTTGTTGTACTTTGACTATTTACGATGATTACTGTCAACATTTGTATGAACTAGTCATGCTGAGGCTGTCGGCAGAGCAAGTGTCTGCTGTTCTGGAGCAAACATCCCCAAGTTGCCTTGATCTTGGCCATGGTGTCCTTGTCATCCTATATCATCCTCTGCATCATATTTCTATACAGACAGAAATCTAAGGATTGCTAAGATTTATTATAGTATTATGAAAGGGTCAAGTGATCTCTGTGCTGAGAGGGGCGGTGGGGTAGCCTAGTGGTTAACGCGTTGGCTCGTCACACCGAAGACCCGATTTTGATTCCCCACATGGGCACAATGTGTTAAGCCCATTTCTGGTGTCCCCCGCCGTGATATTGCTGGAATATTGCTAAAAGCGGCGTAAAACTAAACTCAGTCAGTCAGTCTGTGCTGAGAAACATTCTATCAATAATGATGTTCTCAGCACAACAGTAAAGTGGATGAGTTCTACAAGTGTATCATTTTGGTCTTTCTTCCAAGAGACTGCCATGCATGGAAAACCTGTTTTGATTCCGGTAAGAAAGCTTGCTGAAGGCAACTATATAGGTTGTTAGCATGTTTGATTTGTATGTAATTGGTCCCATGTGTGTGTCTGGAGGCCTGTGACCTCAGTCACTGGATTGTTTGGTCCGGACAGAGTGATACACAAGGATTGTCGGAGAACAGTCAGATTGCTGGAATAGTGCCGAGAATATTACAATACAATGCAGTGTTTCATGTAATCAAGGGTTACTGGTTCCTTGTTGGAGACGACCGCCTCCGACGACCGCCCGGAGAGCGGTGGGTCGCGGGTTCGATCCCTGACCGCGTCATACCAAAAGACGTTAAAATATGGTACTTGTTGGTCCCTGCCTGGCGCTCGGCATTAATGGGTACAAGAAGGCCTGGTCGGCTCGGAGTCAGTATAATGTGTCTGAGTGGGGTATTCATGCTTCACTGCAGCATGGTATCTCAGTGGGCTAGCACTATAAAACCAGCTTAAGTCTGGGCTAGTACAAGCAGCCACATATACACATACACAGGCATGCAAGTCGTCACATGAGCGAAATATTCTCAAGCACGACGTTAAATCCAATTTCACCTCACCTTGTTGGAGACAAAGGTGAGGAAGAAAACTGAACCTGAGCTTCGATTCTAAGCTAGGAAGCATTGAGAAGTCTTTAGTTCTTATTCACTTACTGGAACTATTTCAGGGATCAAATATGGCTCTGTTAACAATGGCTGAGGAAAGGTTTAGACAATTATTTGCGATATTGATGTTTTGTTCATAGGCTGACAGAGTGATATAGTGAGATAGTAGCTGTGACTGGTGCGATTATAGCATATGTTCACGACCTTCTTTAGTAACTATTTTACCAAGTTTACCAATAATCTTTTCCTCTAATACTAATTGTTAGGTAAGGGTTTGTGTTTCCTTTTTCTTTCTGGGTGGCGGACATATCCTATATAGCGGCACCTAGCGACTAAGTACATCCCTCAACGAAATAAACTCAACAAAAACAAAACAAAAAGAAACAAACCCCGTATTATTTCCGGACGTCAGGCTCGATTCTCTTCCCACAACATTATAACCGTTATAACGTACAGCTTTAAAAATCTGGCCATGTCTGGCGGTCTTGATTAATCTGGAGAAAAAAAAATGTCACCGGTTCAAATCTCGCCTCGGGCACGGCGTCTGCGTGGTGGGCAGATGGGCCTATGGGTATGAACGATTTTGCATTATCCAACAGTCGAGGCCAGAAGTAGCAAGGATGTCACCAGGCGAAACACGTGAAGGAAGGACACATTCCATACATCCATGATCTGTTACCTGACTACACACACCGCCTCTCCGACATAACTGAACGTCTTGGGGCGCATGGTCCTCCCATCGTTCTATAATCCACAAACCGGTTAAACCAGACGATTTCCCTGTAAAAGGCTCGTCCCAGACTTTCACGTGTCATATATTAGCAGGGTTTAACGGATACTATTGTTGTTTATGACATCATGTCCAAAATGAAAAATGTGTTCAAACTTAAGAAAATAAGAACCTAATACCAGATGCTATTCGAGCCGCATCAGTTATGTCTCATAGCGGCCATGTCAGACAAGTTCAGTTTTTAAGATAGATCGATCTAAACTTATTCCCCCAAAATATGTGCAATTGCCCTATCCACTAAAATGACGAAATTATTTTTAATTCAAGAAGAACGAAAATTTACTGATAATGTAACTAAACGATTAAAAATGTAATTCTGTTTAAAACGTTATACCCATCTTTGTATATAATATCTCTATTTCTTGATATATTTTCCATGTGCTTGTGTGTTAAGTTTATGAATCAATGTAAATTCCTTCCATCTGGTTTTTCATTATATCTATTGTTGTAAATTTTGTATTGTTTCATGTACCACCGCTGGTGGTTTTCAAGAAACTATGTCTATGATTCGTAACTGATGGATCTTAACTCCGTTTCGCTTCTTTCAACTTTTCCACCAGAACGTCCAACACTGTTGAACATTCATGCAAATGAAAGACGGGAAACCTTTGTCCGTGTGATATATATATTTATATATTTATTCTATAACGAATTGATTCAAAAAGCTCGTGTAAACATTTTCATTCTTATAATTGTCAATGCGTTCTTTCACCATAGCTAAGCGGTGTTCGACTCGAGCCTCAATATACGTGTTACGCGGACAGAACAGTAAATTAGCATAATTTCTCTCCTTTGTTCTTGGGACTCTGATATTGAATGGAATGTTAAAACTAACGGCCTCGTTATATGTTTTAAATTTATATCGGAAATAAATTCCTGTGAACGGGAAGTATTGTGAATTGAGAATAACACACTTGATGCATCTGCGATTTCTGCCATATGCTAGGTCTGGAATAAGGCGCGGCAATGCACGATGTCACTCCCAGCCAGAAATCAATAGCAGTTCTTACGCGCCAATCCCACCATTCCGATATTCCTCCGCCAGATATTGACCCTCAAGTCTATGATGCCAGGCCCTTCTCATGATCATGACGAAGATCGATTACCAGGAACACTTCTTCATTCATAAATTCCTGGAGCTCCTTGCAGCGCGCTCGCTTGAACATTTCCACCAATCAAATACCGCGAGATACGCAGAATCACTAGCTGCCGAAGATAGTTTAGTTTAATATCACCGTATCTATAAATAATCAACTTGATTTACACATGAATTTCTTCATGACAAATATGTTGAATTTTCTTGAACAGTAGGGCAGGTTGTGTAGATTCTAATAATAACCTGGTGCTTGTATCTATAAGTATACGCTGTGTTGAGTTTTAAGTCAATGACGTCATTGCCTCATTTCGTAGGCGCTCGCCGGATACCGAATGAGGTCATGACGTCATCAAATAGATTTATTTTCGCCAAGAACAGGTGTTTGTCAGAATGACTGGTGGATACAGGGAGTCTGTTATGCAATTCTCATCTTGATATCATTGCGACATAGCAATCCCATATAGACTTAGTCTGTCTAGATAGACGCTGTGACGTGTATGGACGATCAATATTCCAGTTCCTGATCAGGTAGTCTTGTGTGTGGTAGGCTTTCGCGGGGCCATGTCTTTGAAGAATGGTGGAATTTAAGGTATGATATGGCGGCATCGTAATTTACTATCTGGCTTTCTTAAGTGCATCATCATCCATATTGTCAAGATCGTCTTTGATCCATTAACAATCCGTAATTAGGTCAAGTGAATATTTCGTTCATCATCATCATCGTCGTCGTTGGCGTCGTCGTCGTCGTTTCTGTCGTCGTCGTCGTCGTCATCATCATCATCATCATCATCATCATCATCAATAATGTATGATACCTTCTAAAACCACGCTGACACAATGTGGCAAAATTAAAATAGATTAGATGATCAGAACAAATTGTCTGTTATAACGATACATGAAATATCATACTATTGGCAATGAGGGTTGCAGTGTTTACAAAAGTAATTAGGATTTTTGTAGAAAATATCACGGGGTTTAAATGGGTAATATTATAGTATGCTAATTACTGATTGATCATTAAAAACGTGGAAGTTGAATAAATTGTTGTACTGACAACCGAAAACCTGCTGTATCCCGCGTTACTTGATCATAATTGTTAGTTTGTGACAATAGCTCCAGGTATTCTGCAAAGGTCGTGACATGATGTTGTCAGTGTACTTTAGTTTTGTTCTTCATTGCCAAGCTAATCATCGTTGGGTAGAATTTAGATCCAACGGATTACTTTATATAACGTGTTGAAAAACTTTCAAAACTTTAATACAAAAATCAAATAATACATAGGTATCTTTGACATGTTGCCTGTCCGCATAAACTGAAAACCTTTCAAATTTAAACAATTTCAAAATTTCAAGCAACAAGAAACAAAACCCCAAAACAAACACACATAAAACCCCCACAAAACATAAGGTCTGAGATAACCATAATACTTGAGGGCCAACAGACACACATACATACACACATACATACACACACACACACACACACACACACAAAGTGGAACTGGGAGCAACTACTTCGAGGTCATGCTGGTCTAAGGGAGATAACTATGTAGATGGACGTGATATGCTGACTCCATGGTCTCACTGGTCAATACGTTGCCTTCACCCATGCCCGCGACGAAGATGCGTGTTTAGAAACACCATGTGGAAGAGCATACTGTCAGTTTCTTGAAATTATTTAAAATAATTAAGTATCATAGTGTTGCTGTGTTTAAATGATAGACTCAAGTGGCTTTACGTTGAATAACAACAGTTACGTATGCTCAACTTTTATTTTGCAATATATTATTGATTAATTTCAGAAATATCCTAAGTTCACTTTTAACCTCATTGTGTGTCCTCGTGTGCCTGCGTGCGTGTGTGTTTTTCAAATCTGCAAATCAAAAACGTCGTCAGCAATATTGAATATACACTAGAAGAGGAGATGTGTAGGCGGAGTTATTCT